TGAAGATGGCCTCCCAAGCTTAAAACAATATGTGTGCCATCCCAGTCATAAAAATTAGGAAGCGCTTTTCTAACACCCTGGTTTGAAAAGCTTCCACATTATCTGAGGGAGTTAATGTGGCATGACTCTCATAACTACTTTGTGAGTTTGCTTTTCAGTCTTAATTTACGACTTATTGAAAGTGAGAGCTGTGTGCAAGGAAGGAAATTTAGAGAACTTAGTGTGTCCCCGAGAATGGGAGGCAATCAAAACTCCAGAGAAGGTGTGGTGTAGTGGTCAACCTCTGTCCATAACTGAAGGGAACAGGAAAGTAAAACAGCAGGCATAGGTGTATGGACACTCATGTAACTTCACTGTAAAGGAAGCTGTCTGTGGAAGCAGAATGCTAGACAGGGATGATTTAGCTTGTGTGTACATTGTTCTACCAGTGAGAATAACCATTAGGTTATCTTTATCAGTTGGTTATCTAGGCATAGCTGTGGATGCTACTGACATTTTAAAAGCATGTATGGAATTGGACGCACGCCAGGAAGGAAAGGAAGGGTCATCATGGCCCCCTCCTGCAGTTTTAATCCCACCTGTGATTATCTTCCAATACCTCTATCTCCGCACTACCCATTGTAACTGCTGCTATAAATTAAATGGGCCGATGTACTAGACTTGCATGACAAAGAAGGCAAATTGCTTTGCTTTTAAAGGGGGAAAGGGTACTTACTTGCCTGTCCTATTGGTCATAGGAAAGCTTGCCTAGAGATGCATACTTCCCCTATTCTAGTTGAGGTAGTAGTTGAGGATAATGTGTATAGTTTAGGTGTTCTCCTGGAGTTTTGTTCCTGGATGTTCCAGTGATAACCCGCCAGGAGTGCATTTGCACTGCTTTTCTGTGGCCCTTTGAGAAGACAAAACTGGCTACTCTTATGCCTGCTTTAATAGCCATTTCAAACTACTGCAGTGCTTTGTACTTGAGGTTCCCTCTGAAGAGTATTCAGAAACTCCAGCTGGTGCAAGACGCAGTAGCTAAAGTGGTATTGGGGGCCCAGCTTTTTGGATAATGTTATGCATACTTTTTAAGCTGCATTGGCTCCCAGTTCATTTCCAAGTGCAATTCAAAGTACTGGTTTTCCCCTTTAAAGTCCAACAGCTTCACTGCCCTGCTGCAAAAAGCAACTGGAAACCCATTCCTTAAAAAAGGAATGGGTAGACAAGGAAAAAAATTATTGATTGAATGCATTTTGGATGCTGCTGGTCCCTCTTCAGGAAAATTTGGAGGAGAGTAATTCACATTTCAGCTGTGTCACTTCTTCTGTTGCTATCAAAAGAAAAAGAAGAGGTAGCTCATCTGAATGCTGAATTACAAGTTCTTGGCTTTTTAGCCCTAGATGACTTGAGACCGTGATATCTGAAGCACTGCTTGCTTTCATATGAGACTGCCTAAGATCTTGGAGCTGCAGGCAGCAGCTTTGTTTGCATCCCTCTTTTATCTGAAGTCAGGCTAGTGACTATGATTGTTAGGAGCCGGGCATTCAGTGGTGGAACCCTGGCTTTGTGGAGCTCCCTCCTGATTAATATCAGGAAACGTCTATAGTGACTTGCTCAACACATTTCTGTGTTCACTCCGGTGTTCCTTGAAGCTTGACTCAAGCTATTTATAGGACACAACCTTTTCCACAGCGATGTCCAAGCTCTGAAACTATCTCTCTGTAATGTGGGTATGTGTTTGGTTGCTTTCGTACTTAGGATGAATGGTGAAGACCATCCATTTCAATCAGGACTTCCATAATGACTGGTTTTGTTATTCCAGGCCCCTCATGCCACATATTTTCTGTATTTAGGTGCAATGGCTATTTATCATTGTTTTTGCTACAATTTGTTGTGTTTTGGTGTTTTATTGTTTTGTTTAATGCTGTAGTTTAATTGCTTGTGTGCTGCTTTGTGGGGACTTTGGTCTGACAAGCAATACAAAAGTAAGCTTTTACCTACACTTGCCTATGCTGAACGCTATGGCACTGTGTCCAACTTAGTTTTACTCAGAGTAGACCCATTGAAATAAATGGACCTAATTTAGCCACGTTCATCAGTTTCAATAGTCTCCTCTGAGCCTAACATTGGATACAACCCAACGTGGTTTTATTAAGAAATTACAGTGGTACCTCTGGTTACGTATTTAATTCGTTCCGGAGATCCGTACTTAACCTGAAACTGTTCTTAACCTGAAGCACCACTTTAGCTAATGGGGCCTCCCGCTGCTGCCACGCCGCCACTGTGCGATTTCTGTTCTCATCCTGAAGCAAAGTTCTTAGCCCAAGGTACTATTTCTGGGTTAGCGGAGTCTGTAACCTGAAGCGTCTGTAACTTGAAGGGTATGTAACCAGAGGTAGCACTGTAGACAGAAGATAATCACGACTGTTCTTAAGATGCACCACTTTTCCACAATGTCACCTTGAAAGTATCTGAGCACAGAAATTTGTCTCTGGGTGTGTGTCTTGTTTATTTATTACTTTAGTATCCCACCTTTCTTCTAAGTAACTCAAAGTGACACACACAATTCTCCTTCCCAGCCATTTTAATCTTCACAACAACCCTGCCGAGTTAGGCTAAGAGACTATGACTGGCCCAAGGCTACCCATGGAGCTTTATGGTTGAAAAGGGATTTGAGTCTTGGTTTCCTGAGTCCAGCACTCTAACCACTACACCACACTTTCCTCCTCCTCTCTTGCATTTTCCTTTACCATGACACAGGGACCTGGGGTTAGGGGCTGCAGCTTCTAAGCCCCACTGCCTGGCTTCTCAGCATGGCTTGAGCTGATGCTGCTCTGGTTTTAGAAAAGAAGCCCCCCCCCTTCCCGGGAGCTTCCTGGCCAGCTGAATATCAAATGCAGGCTCATTTACATTGTATGGGGCCTGCTAGTTTTCTTTGCTGATTTTATCTCTCTCTCTCTTTAAGGAGCAGATTGGCCACATATTGAAAATCAGGAAATTTAATTTTGCCAGATGAATTAATTTTAATAGGATTTCCTTAATCCAACATGATTAGCATTAGCCTCACCTTGTAATTTGTGGCATATGAAGGAGAGCATCTCCTTTCTTATTGGGTGGGGTGGGGGAAGGACTTTATCCTGAAGGACCTCCAGCAAAGAATGAGGAGAGGAGATACAAGCAAGACCAAATATTTTCTGAGGACTGGCTTATCCAGAAGAAGTTTGCAGCAAACTGTCCAGGGACCAGCAAGCTGGTTGGCCTTTCTGGATCAGCCCATCATCTAACTGAGATTCCAGCCTTCAGACATCTGCAGCCCACCAGCATGTCCATCTGATAACAAGAGATGGGCTAGGAAAAAGGAAACACTTCTGTCCACAGAGTTAGCCACCACTTGGAGGCGAATCACCAGAGCCACCTAAAAGAAGAAGAAAATAAAGGATAAGTAAACACAAGTCTGGATGACCCTCGAGGCTTAAATGCCCCCAAATCCAACCCTTCTGGACAGCAGTCATGCAAGAAATATGCAAAATAAGTAAACAGGTACTAGAAGTCACCCCAGAACTGGCCCTACTGAACATCTTCCAAGATAATAATGTCAACTCACACTATAAAGAACTCATAACCCACCTACTCTCAGCAGCCAGAAGCATCATAGCCAGACACTGGAGAGACCTGTCAGGACTAAACATGGACCAATGGTATCAAATTGCATGGGAAACAGCCTTATTAGAAAAACTAACCAATAAACTGAAACTGACACGGAGACAAATAGAAGATGCCTTCACCCTGGTATGGTTCCCCTTTATCATATAGGTAAAGGTAAAGGGAGCCCTGACCATTAGGTCCAGTCGTGGCCGACTCTGGGGTTGTGGCGCTCATCTCGCTCTATAGGCTGAGGGAGCCGGCTTACATCTTCCGGGTCATGTGGCCAGCATGACTAAGCCACTTCTGGCGAACCAGAGCAGCGCACGGAAACGCCGTTTACCTTCCCACCGGAGTGGTACCTATTTATCTACTTGCACTTTGACATGCTTTCGAACTGCTAGGTTGGCAGGAGGTTATCACATACACAGCCCCAAAAGACAACTACAAGAATCCACCGACAGCATACAAATCAATTAGGCTAACTTGACCCAACAACCCCTCCCCCCCATTAATGAACAAATCTCACTGCAGTCAACCAAAGACAACTAACTGCACCCTAAGCCACCCCAAGCTCTCTAACTAGCAAGGAAATATAACAAGCGAATAGAAAGAGAACCTACCCAAGTGACACTGATGCTAAACCCCACACACGCATACACTCCCTCTCCCCCCTCTTTTTCTTCCCAACCTTATACTGCAAATAACACTAATGTATCACAACAGATGTGCTTGATCTGCAGAAATCACAACCTGAAAAAGACGATGCATGTACTTTTGTAAACTAAGAATTTTTTTTAATCAAAATTATTTTAAAAACAAATGAACAGGGGAAAAACCCCAAAACCAAAGCTTTCCCCATTTCCCTGGTGCTGAAATTTAACAAGACCAACTTTCGTTTGATTCTGCCAAGTAGTAGGGCCTTTATGCTCTCGGCTTACAGCTCCATTCACCAGTCAGGTAAATCGCATTGCTCTGGTTTTATTACTAAGTTCTTTGGGCTCCAAACTATGCCTTCTGCCTTATGCTGTTTAACTTCCATTGAGATGTTTCCACTTGATCCAATCTGTTTAACTTCCACTTCTAAGAAGGCATGGGGAGCTCATAAGGACTAAACCGGCCAAAGGCCCTTCACGTCTAGCTAGCATCCTGTTTCTCAGAGCAGCCCAGCAGAGGAGGACAGGAGTGCAATGGCCCTGCCCTGTTGCATAAGGCCTGAGGTTGATATATTATTAGTAAGGAAGGGGTGGGGAACAGATCTAGAGATCTAGGGGATATTCTTCACACACACCCTCTCAAAAATATCTCTGGAATTGAAAGAGGCCCCCTGAGTAGAAAGTTGCAAGCTGTTGCTTCTCCTCCTCCTCCAACAACAACAAGATAGCTCAGTCGGTAGAGCGTGAAATTCTTAATCTCAGAGTCGTGGGTTCGAACCCCACGTCGGGCAAACAGAGTCTTGCATTGCAAGGGTTGGACCAGATGACTGCCGAACTCTACAGTTCTATGATTCAATGATTCATTGACAAGGGGGCTGCTGCTGCTGCTGCTGCTTCATCTCCTCCGGGCGGGCTGGGGGGGTGCCTGCCTGCGCGCGCAGCCGCTTCTCCCCCGACCTGATGCTTCGCAGGGCTGACATTCGTGTAGCAACCGCCGGGTCCGAGGCAGCAACGGCGCTGCAGCTGGGCTTGGCTTTGAAATGCGCAAGACAATGGGCGCCACTGTTCTCGCCCGCTTCGCCTTTCCATTCCATTTGCATAGTCTGTTCTGCCTGATTGACCAGCTCGGGCTGTCCAAGGGACCCGGCATTGTTCCCAGATCACTGCGAGATGGCAGAGATGACAAGATTCAGGTGAGAGATGAAGTGGGATGGCTCGCCCGGGCCGCAAGCCGAAGCCAGAAGCCCCTGGGAACACCAGGCGGGGGGAGAAGAAGGAGGAGTGGAGAATCAGATGGAGGGGTTTAAGAGAGAGAGAGAGAGAGAGAGAAGTCCTCTCCTGTCTTCCACAATGAGAACTCACCCCAAATCCACATTTTCCCACCCCACTCCCGCTGTTCTGGCCAAAAATCGAGCCGCCCCTCAATCCTCACAGTAGTTCATAGCGCTTCAAAGTGATGTTCAAAGCACTTCACACACAGGGTCTTCTTGGCAAAATGTACAACATGCCTGCAAGGCAGGACAGGAGCACCATCTAAAAAGGCTGCCTCCGGGAAGGAGCGGCTTTCTGGTAGGGTTGCCCTATTTTGAAGAGCAAAAAGAGGGGGACATATTTCCCGACTTCTACTTTTAACTATGGAGACTCATTTTACATACCCATGAAATAGAGAACGTGTCTTGGAAAAAGAGGACATAATGTCAACCCTAACTGGGCTGAGTGAAGGGCGAAAGGGAAACGGAAGGTGCGCCCTCCAGAACTCCTGCCCGCCAGAAAGCAACACCCCAGGATCGGTTTTGCAAGCAGATTGCATGGGAAGGTTTCCTATTTGCAAGTGAAAGATAGATTAGAGTCGCAGGGGAAGATGGCAGCCCTCCGCAAGGCACTTTACCTGCAGGGAACTTGCAGGAGGACTTTGTGAGTGAGCTGAGGAGCTGAGGCCCCACGAGCCGGTTCATGTTTACTCGAAAGGAAGCCCCGTCGAGTTCAATGTGGCGCTCACTTATGGCCAAGGGTGCAGCAGGGCTGAAGCCGAAGCAGCTGCGATCCTAAACTGTCTGGGAAATTCCATCGAAATCGACAGGAATCGGGACTCAGGGCCAAGTATAACGGGGCTTCGCGTTTGTGTTAGAATCGCAGCCTAAGGCTAAAATCCTATGCCCAACTGGCCCTGCATAGGAGGATCTCGTTAAGTTCCTTTATTACAGTCTAATCAAGCCCGTGGAAGTAGCTGGGCAGAGACACGCGTTTTATAATCTTCCTCCTTCCGCGCAATCGTCTGCTTATTTGCAGCTGTGCCCTCTTCTGTAGATCGAAAATACCGGTAGCTACTCCTGATATCTCAGACAAAACACAACTGGGGAAGGGCCATAGCTGTGTGGCAGAGCGTCTGCTTTGAGTGTAGAAGGAGGTCGCAGGTTCAGTCCCCAGCATGACCTCCAAGTAGGGCAGGGAAAATGTGCCCCGTCGAAAAATCCTACAGAACCGCTACCAGCCTGTGCAAGCAATATTGGGCTAGATGGACGGGCTCAGGACATGGCAGCTTCCTGTTCCTACTCGCCATTCATTTCCAGGCAGATGGAAAGCTCTGAGCTGCTGCGGAAGGAGGAATGGAGGGAGGAGAGCAAATCGCGTCGGGCTCCATCTCCTCTTTCCCACCCCTCCCACACACAAAAACAACAACCCTGGAAACTTTTTACCCTCTCAAACTAGCTTGCAGGAGCGCGCGCGCGCACACACACACACACGTAAACAACATGCACCCGCCCAGCCCACACAGGCCCCCTGAAATGGGTTTACGTTTGACACTCTTGTTTTGACTTCTTCGTAGAAAGACCTAAAAAAGAAAAAAAATAATCTTTGCAATACCGGAATGTTTTCCCTCGAGGGATCTGCAGCACAATTTGCCATAATTTCTTCCTTAAACCGAAAAGAAGCTGAGCTGAGCAAGGGAGGAGATTCCCATGGCAGCGCTCGCTTCGACTCAAACCCCCCCCCCCCCCGCCGCCCTCTGGGACTCCAGTCTCGTTTCAGTGCAAATATTCCCCATCATCTGCTAATAATGGGGAAAGACAACAGAGGCGCGCGACTCGCTTGTGCCCGGGCACCAGCCACGGATCCACAGCTGCCATTTAAACCGCATCCATCCCATCGATTTCCTCTCTCTTTAGCAGGGCAGCTTTTTTTCCTCAGCAGGGAGACTTATTTCAGTGGGCCTTTTGCCCAAGGAAGTAGCTGGATGCAGCCCAGTTCTATGCACATTCCTTTTAGCAGGTTTCCCTTCAAGGTTAGGTGTGCTCAGGATCGTACTTCTGTGCGCACCTACCTGGGAATCAATGAACTTGGTGAAACTTACTTCGGAGTAAGACACGTATCGCTGTTCGCTTATGATCCTGTGCCCACTTGTCTGGAAAGGTCCCATTTAACTCAATGAGTGGACGTGCAATGAGTCCTATTGTTGAGCACGTTCGCTCTCCGGGGCTGCACCTGTTTAGGTGAGTCTCATGGGTTTGTGGATGAGAACTGGGGGTGCCACGTTGAGACTTAACTGGGTGGGTTGGTGGTAGAAAAGTCTGTCCGGGGAAGAAGAGCCGGATCCACGGTTAGTTTCAGCAGCTGCTGCTGCCTTCGTCCCAGTGACTTCCAAAGGACTGAGCCCCGCGTTCACACGGAAGGAAGCACTTGCTTCCGAATAGGTGTTAATTCGGCTTAAAGCCCAGTGTTTCGATTGCACCACATTGTGGGCTCGCAGTTAATATCCATATAACTTTCTTTGCTCATCTGAAACTTGGATTCCCCCCCCTCTCTCTCACACACACACGGTGGAATGCACTTAATAGCTTCTTAAATTCGAGGGTGAGGGACGAGCTCACACCCAGAAAGAAACACAGGCGCTCCCTCGGGCCAAAACTGCTGCTTTTTCTGTTGGTGGTGGGGAGCTGATTTCAAGCTAGTTTACTCCGCAGCCCTAAGGCAGAGGTCCTTCCCCTGTTTCCACGGAAGGAAGCCCCACAGGATCGGGTCTCCGGGGCTTCCCAGGAAGGACCCGTCGTGGTCCCCCGGCGAAAGTGTGGCGTGAGACACCGGGACCCGGCCCCCGTTTCCCCGCCTCCCGGTGACCGCCGGGGGTGAAAGATGCGATGGGAGCCGAAGTGGCTCTGGAGTTTGTTTAATTCCCCCCCTCGCGTGTTTACTGATCCTTCGAGAGGCGCTTATCTCGGGGAATATAGAGCGATTAATAAAACCGCAGGTTTCCAGATAAGTGATTGTGATGGAGATTGTTGGCGAGAAAATAGACAATTATCCGCTGTTAGCTTTACATAAAGATCGCATTAACTTGAATTAGTTATCAGACAAAAGAACATCAGAAAGCTGCACCTTTTCTGCCAAGGCAACCGCTCGCGGGGTGCGTGTGTGTGTGTGAGAGAGAGAGAGAGAGAGAGAGAGGGAGAGAGAGAGAGCTCTCTCTCTCTCTCTCTCTCACACACACACACACACACACACACACACACACACACACCCCAAACGGGGAAGTTGGTGGCAGGCCAAAGAGAGACGAGGCAGGGATACTGAGCTGGGGGAAGTTGGAGAATTTCAAGGGAGGAAGCGAGGGAGGGAAGACGCGCTGCCTGCCCGGGCGAAATGCGCCGCTGCGGAAAAGAGGCGCAGCTGAGAAACGCGCCTTGGCAGCCAAGTGGGAACCCAAAGGAAGGAGAAGGCTGATCGTGGGGCAGCCGGGAACTTAAAGGGCTCCTGAATGGAGGTGGGGGGGGGAGTTATAGGAGAAAGAGAGGGGGGGTCTTTTCCTGCACAGCCGTGGAACTATTTGGAGAGCATGAAAGAGGCTGCTGTGGTTCCCGCTGGAGAGCTTTTTGTACAATTCCAAGTCTAGTTCTCTCTCTCTCTCTCTGCCCCCCAACACACACACAGCGTTCCCCCCTCCCATTCACTGGAGGGGGGGCGGTAATTAATTATCCAGCTCTGCTCCTGGGAGAGAGAGAGAAGGAAAAGTGGGGGAGCGGTGGGGAGGGGAGCCTTAAGGGAGGGAAAGGACTCCCTCCCCCTCCCGACTTTCTCGTTTTGTTCAGCAAGCAGAACTAGGAGGAACACCCCCACCCCGACCTCCACCCCGGGACTGCAGGGCTCCTGTCCAGTCCACCCCCACGGAAAAGGGGGGGGGAGGGCGAGCTCTGCGGGGGAGCGGCTCTCATTGTGGCAGCCAACAATCCCCCGGCCTTTATTCCCCCCACGGAGGTGAGGAATTCTGGAGCGGCTCGTGTGACTTCGAGGGAGAGGGAGGCGGGCAGAGGCTAGGCGCGCTCCTCTGGCTTGACGCTTCCCTCCGTCCCTTCCTAAAATAAAATAGAAGCCTGCCAAGGCAAAAGAAAGGATGTCATTACGGTCCAGCAAGATGCACTCCCAGAAAAATAATAATATTGACTGTACAGTATATATGTGGGAAAGGGACGGAGAAAAGTGTCTCGGCGGCGCGTTGCTTGAGCTGGAGCCTTGCCTTCCACTTTCAGCTCAGTCTCTTAATCTCAGGGTAGTAGGTTCGAGCCCCGCGTTGGGCGAAATATTCCTGCGTGGCAGGGGGTTGGACTAGATGACCCACGGGGTCCCTTCCGACTCGACAACTTCTATGAAAAGCTCTCTGTAGGTTGGCTGCCTCTATTAGGGCTGCAACGTGTCTTTCTGTGAGTTTAGTTAGGGTCGGGACGCCGGATTGCCAGGCAGCCTCAGAGCAGGCGATGCTGCTGGGCTGAGGTGGGTAAAGGGGTGTGTGTGTGTGTGTGTGTAGCGGGGATGCTCAGGTGCCGTAGGGCTGCCCCCTGGCCTGCACGCACACATACACAGCGCGCCCCGCCGGCTCTCCCCGGCTCGTCTGACTGGGAGCTGTCCCAGTGCTGCTACGTGCGGCTCCTGCGCTTCCCGGGTCCCGGTTGAAAGGAGCGGCTCACGACCCCCCCAGTTCCCAAGGCAGGCTGGAAGCTGCCTGGTGAGCCTTGGATTTGTGTGGTCCCAGCCTTTCCCAGCTTGCCCCATTCCGCGGCCGGGATCAGGGGCTCCCTCGGCTCGTTTGCACCTGCGTCGCTTCTGGCTCCTTCAGGAATGCGCTGAAGCTTGTAATCAGCTTTGTGAAGCCATTGAGTGCACGGCTGAGTGAAACTTGCAAAGCTCGCGGAGAACTGGCCCGCTGAATGGGAGTCAGCATGGGGCTGCTCTCCAAGCCTTGGCGCTGCCAAATTCCAGCAGAGCCCCTCACAATCAGTCCACACAGGCTTTGCTGCTTTCCCCACACTAAGAAAAGTGAGAAAAGAAAAGCGAAAATACCAGCCACCGAGGTTAGCAGTTTGTTCCCAGATTAATGGCAAAACTCTGGAGGCTGGGTGGGTGGATGGATAGATTAGCTAGCTAGCGGCCGAGGCTCTGCGTTTTTTGGTCGCCTCTAAAAGACGCTGGGTGTTGTTTTTTAGCTGGGGCAGGTTTTGTTGTCCTTCAAGGCGGGAAGGTAGCCAGAAAGAGAGCCCTGGGTTATGAAGAAACTTGGAAAAAAATATAGGGTTTCCATATCTCTCTTCTGTAGTTGTTCCCTTATCTCTTTACTTGCGAGTATTCGCATTAGAATCTATAGGGCTGCTCCAAGAGCAATGCAGTTGGGAACAGCTGTTCGGGGAAATAAGAGGGGGAGGGGTTTCAAAAATACCAACAAAAAACCATAAAGAGGCATTCCAATATAGTCAAAAGTTGGACAAAAAGGATTGCAGATTGTATTTTAGATAGGACAGCGTTTTGTGCGAAGATAAGGCGATTCACACGCCATTAAACTCAGTGGGAAAGTGGGGCTGGCAGTCCAAGTGACGGTTTTGTTTAGAGCCCTGTTGCTTGTGGATATAATGAGAAAAAGTGTCCATCGTCCAAGACGCTCTTGCTAAGGATGGTTTTAGGGGTGTGTTATTTTGGAACTCTGCATGATGGTGTTCCTTCCTTAATGAACAGGTTTTTAAGTTGCTTGGTGAAGGATTGTCGGACCTCCTGGGAATTCCTGCAGAGGATCACACAGAAAGCACCCATCCTTTGGGACGTCAACATTTTTTGAAGGGGAATGTGAAGGGGTCCTGTTTAGAATTCTTTTACTCCTGGCGCAAATCAGCTGCTAACCCATTCCACAGATTGCTAGGAATGGACGCCTAGCTTCCTATCCCATTTAATTCTACATTTGTCTAGCGATATCTGGATGTTTTCCTATGAACCTCCAGATACTACCAGAATATTTGCCTCTACGTTTTAAGTCACAGTGAGGTCCTCAGATAGCCACCCACTGTAAACGAGGGAAACCATTTAAAAAGTCAGCTTGCTATAAGCGATTCAGGCGGTGGCGGGGAGGACCCGATATTCAAAATCTTTTGAGAGCTAGATTCACAATCCACGTAAGACAACGTGCGTTTAGCTAACGGTGGGCTCCGATGCATTCAATTCTACTTAGAAGTGAGACTTACGGGGCTTACCCTCAGATAGGTGAGGACAGTACTGTAGGTGAAACCTGCTTTCAGACCAATCCTATGCATGCATTCACTTACTCAGAAGTATGGCTGCAGTCTTAACCCCACTTACCTGGGAGTAAGCCTCATTGAATTTAATAGGAATTACTTCTGCATATGCACAGTTGGTAAATCTCACTTAGTTCAACAGGGCCGACTCCCAAGTCAATGTGCACATGACTACAGACTTTATTGGCAGCAGGCTGCCATTGGTATCAAAGGTCGGGATCCCAAAGAGCTGCTTTAGGCGTGTCTGGGGCCTTGGGGGGGAAGGTATTTTCTTCGAACAGCTGCTCTCGGTGCCACCTAGCAGACAGTTCTGGGAAACTCTTCCATTTGGTGGCCTGGAGGGCATGAGCGAGCTCCATAGGAAGAGTGCGTTTCTTTGGATCTCGCCCAGTGCCTTTTCCACACAACACCTGCACAGAGCTTTAGCTCCATATATATTTTTGTTCCCTGCAAGTCAGTGGGCTGGGATTCTGGAATTCAAGGGCTTTGGCTTAACTTTGCCAGTGCTGCAAGCTGCAAAAGTGCAGGGCTCCCTCCCACGCTTTTATCTTATTTTTCCTTCTTCCTTTTTGAGTACCAAATTCCTGAAATTACTTGGGTCTTCCTCACCTGCTTTTTTTTTTAACCTTGCTTCGAATTGCTTCTTCTTTCTTGTTCCGGAGCAGCAGTGCGCCTAAGAGTTTCAAAGCTCAATGCAAGGAGTTTCGGCGGTTGCTAAACCCCTTGGAGTTTGTCTACACACAATTTATTGGAATTCAGTTCCACTGATTTCCATGGAGTTGCTCCCTGAATTAAGGGCACTTGGGGGTAGCAGCCTTGGCCTTACAGCTGAGAGCCCGTTTTCCCTATCTCTTAGAATCATAGAATAATAAAGTTGGGAGGGACTCCGAGGCTCATCTAATGCAGGAATATGCAGATGGTCCTTACGGGAATTGAACCTGTAACCACCACGTTCTCCGAAACCTTTCTTGATTTGCTGTTATTCTATAGAAAATCAACTTTTCTGGCACACGACCTTCAGAATTTACCTCTCTCTTTTTTTCCAAAAACAAAAAAAACCTCCAGCAATTTAAAATCAAACGCTAACTAGCTGCTCTGCTAAACGGAGTTGTTTGGTGGGCATTTGTTCTCCAACTGCATTCATTTCCACGAGCATTCATTTCCATTCAAAACCACGCAGCAGCAACCGCGGTGAGACCTGCGAAAACTTTCCTTTGTTATGCAACGAAGGTGAACGCCAGCATTTGCTCGAGCTCTAGTGGCCAAGTTCCCGGGTCGTCCCGATCCACAGCCCCCAAATTGGCACCCTGCACTTCAGGAAAGTTACTTGGAAGACAGCCCTGCGATTGGATCTCCTTCCACGCCGTTGAGGACCATCGACTACTAGAGGGAAGAATCCCGGGACTCCCCGCCCCCTCCCATGGTTATCCCTTGTGGCTGGAATCCTACACACACTTCCTCGGAAGTAAGACCCGGAGAACTAGATAGAACTTGCTGAGACATTACACATACTTCTGTAAAACAAGAAAATATTTAATAAAACAAACAAACAAACAAACAAACAACAAAAACTAGATAAAACTTGCTTCTGAGTAAACCTGAGTAGACTGCACGAGTCCTAATGATTTCGGTGAAAGCGTTAATTAAACACGTGCTCAAATCGCTCCCACTAAAATCAGTGGGGCTTAGAAATGCTTAATTTTGATGACATGTTAATGAGTTTTCTGCTCCCCCCCCCCGCATTTACACAACAATGCTGTTTACTTGGGAGTGAGGACCACTCCGTTCAACGTGCCTTATCCCCAGGGGAAGGGGAAAAAAAGATATTCCCACTTCCTTGGGAGTGAGCCTCGTTGAACTCATTGGGGTTTACTTCTGAGCAGACATGCTCAGGACTTGGGCATCGGAATCCAATGGCGGCGAATGTAAAGAGTGTATTGAAGTTTGGAAGTAAAAATA